AGTAGTAAGAAATAAAGAATGAAAGAAAAAATATAATGTCCTGGAAAAGAGGAGAATTGGACAGAACAATAGCTAAAAAAAAGAAAGAAAAAAAGAAAAAGAAAGAAAAATAGAATGTCCTGGAAAAGAGGAGAAACGGACAGATCAATAGCTAAAAAAGAAATAAGAAAAAAAAGAAAAAAATGAAAGAAAGAAAGTAAGAGTCACTAAGATAATGAAAAAGAAAGGATAATTAAAATGGAGGATAACAGAAAGATTAAGATGGAAAAGAAAGAAAGATTAAGATGTAGAGAAGTAAAGGATTTTAAGATATAAAAATCGAAAAAGAAAGACAAATAATCTTTCGAAAAAGAAAGAAAGAATTCTGTGAATAAAACTAAAAAGAAAGATTATGATGAAAATAAAGATTAAGAATTGAAAGAAATAAAGGTAGATAAATGAAGAAAGATTAAGACGAAGAAAGAAAGAAAGAAGAGATAAAAGAAGATGAAAGGAAGAAAAGGAAGAATAGAAAGATTAAAATGATCAAAAATAAAGAAATATTAAGATGTAAAAAAGGAAGACAGAAGACGAAGAGAACGATCAAGAAAAAAAATACAGAAAAAATATATAAAAAAGAAAGAAACCATTGGGAAAGGAAAAACTGATGAAAGATAATATCCAAAGTAAAAAATTAAAAAAAGAAAGACAAAAATGTATAGTGGTTGGATAAAAAGAAAAAAATGGCATACAGAAAAGAGGAGAAAGATGAAGACATGACAGAATGATGATGATGATGGTGATGATTATGAAGAAGAAGAAGAAGAAGAAGAAGAAGAAGAAGAAGAAGAAGAAGAAGAAGAAGAAGAGAAAAAAGTAGAATATTTGTAAAAGGAAGAGGAAATTCAATATCTGTCTATATTTCTCAGATGATGTATTGTAATTATTTACACTACATCGTTTGGACTGTTGTTTTCATATTTGTTGCCAGGTTCGCGACGCTTCGGAAGAGGTATGACATTCGGAACTAGATCAATCTAACCCGGCGGACGCAATAAATGGTTCGGATTCAAATAATCTGAATCAGCGGAACGTACACGAATCAAAAGGCCGCGAATATGGCAACAAAGATGAGGACAACAGTCTGAATAATGTAAAAAGATACGTGACAAATAGAAAATGTGTTCTTACCGTGGGTCTTCTTCGGTACAATAAAAGATTAACTTGAAAAAACTAATAATAGAACAATACAGTTATAGATCTTTGTTTGTTTAATGGTATATCAACACCCTATGAGCCATTTAGTGCCGAAATTTATTTTACTTGGAAGTATTTGTAATTTCTTTTACAAACATATACTAATGTTAACATTGTTTTTTTTGTTTTTTGTTTTTTTGTTTTTTTTACAAAAACCTGATAATGGTATTTTTTTTACGATAAAAATGTACTGCTGGCACTTTCACGATAAAAATGAATTTCTACGCTTTCTGTTGTAGCATATACACGGACGATAATAGACAGACCCCCATTCACATAAATACAGTAGTAAATACTGTATGTTGGTATGCAGTCGGAGATTCGTCTTCAGCTGTACCGGTCAAACTCTCTGCCTCCAGGCGGAGAGGATCTCCACACGAAGCTATGTCGAAGGGCAGAATTTTGTCTTGTGAAAGAGCTACGCGACGCCGTTTAAGACGAGATCTACGGGGAATTTTTGGTGAAGCCTACGGGCTCGGATAACCGACATTAAATTCGGCATCGTGCCACATCTGACAGCGTGGGGCGGTTAATAGATATCATGCAGTTGGAGATTCAACGTGGGATTCACATGACTCACTTCTAGCTGTTGACTACTTTTACGAACCGCTGGTGAATCTTATATGTGTTGTTCGTGTACTAAGTTTTATCGTTCATTAGCACCTTTGTGTGATTATTTTATTCAATAACCTTTCCTAGATTACAACAATTTCATAGTATTTTGGCCCCAGTTTGGGGGTCTAATATTTCCCCATAACTGGGACCCTAGCCTGTGCTACAAACCCAGATCAGGGTGGACCTGGGAACAACAGCAATTAAGATGTGATTCCACGCCCCCCCAATCCCCCCGATCAGAGGCCTGGCTGTCAGATATCGTCTTTTCTCCTATCCAGGATGTAAAATAATTATAAAAATAGGTTGTAGTAATTGTTATATTAAGAATCGAAATTAGGTTCTGAACTATGCACACGATTTTAAAAAAAATCGCTCATAACGAAACAATTATAAATTATTGTACTCAACGTTATGTTCTAGTAGTTTTCTTAGCGTTTCTAAAATATGGCACAAGACTAAATATATGAGGTACCCACTGAGGATCGAATTCACTAATCAGTCGTAATAGCGAGATTGGCCTGCAAACCTTTACAGCACGTCTAGAACCAACAATGTCATGCCATGTATAGAACATTCTTTCTTGTATTATTATGCACAACAATAACTAATAATAAAATAGCACATTTATAAAACAAACTCTAATAATGGTTACATTTTGAATGCTATATTCATTATAAGAGTAGATTTCACTCGAAATAAGAGGTTAACAACAATATCTTATTATGTAATACAAGGTTACTTTGTTTTTTGAGGACATTTGCATGTACTTAGAAAAAAGCGTATAGGTCATGAAAGAAGAGCTTAATTTCTGAAAATATTGCCAACACTAATGCTGAGACTATTCTCGACACATCGGCATAATGAATCCACCATTAGTATCAATGCCAGTGATTTGAATAATTAATAGTGGTCTCCCCTTGTTTCGTTCCTCTCCTCTTTGGGAGATCTATTTCTGTTTACTGGGGAATATAAAATGATACTATATGTGAACTTTTATATTCTCAACTGAATAAAGCTTTCTTAAAGCCTACAGCTGCGTACATTTGTCATTACACAGATTAACTTAATTGCCACTGTCTATACGTTTACTACAATTAAACGTTGTTACAACAAGTTATGCTTGACAAGGAGCAAATAAATGCTGAAATCACGGGACAGTTCTTGTACCGATGACACCACAAAATGCTGCTGAGGAATAAAAACCACATCATAATATTGTTATGAATAATCAAATGTGTTCTCCCCATGTTTCATTACTCTCCTCTTTGAGAGAGCTATTTCTGTTTACTGGGACTATAAAAGGACACTATACGCGAACCTTGTACTCTCAGGTTAATTAAGCTTTTTTAAAGCCTACACATGCTTATGTTTGTCATTACAGCCGCTTCGATGTTCAAAAAGTTTAAATGTCTGAATTGGATGATCTTTATGTACATTATACGTATTCTACTAATTATGGCGGATTTCAGGGATTTTTCTATGTTATGGGGTCGTTGGCTGATTTCCTTCCTTACAGCGCGGCGTACTTAGTTATTTCGGTAGAGATAATAGACCATATGTTTGGTAGACTATATGACATGATGGTGGAGATTGTTGGCGCGTTATGGTCTCATAAGACCACGCAGAATCTTGTTGTTATATGGACGGTCTTCCCTTGCCCATGTGTCTCAACGGCTGTTGTGATGCATCTAGTGTGATAGTCTGTAGTGGTAGTGCTAGTCACTTCTCGCTTTCAGTTACCGCTGCTGGCTAGCAGTAAATCGAAAAGGGGACCCGAGTGCGTAAGTCTTCCCCTGGCAGTATATAGCCTCTTCATCAGCAAGCCCTATGTAGTGCCTCCTCGTGGCAACCGAGCACCTAGCGGACTCGGACTAAGCTACATGAGACGGGGGTGGGGTTGTCCCGCTTAACATGCGACCTACAGTCCCACCGGTGTGTGGACATACCCTGGTGCCTATGAACCAAACCCCAGCTATGGGTTAAATAGCACCACTGTCTTGTGGAGAAGGAAAGTCTAAGTAGTAAACCCTACACAAATCTGGAGTGAAGCCTCTAAGGTGGATAGACGGCACTCTGGGCTACCTTCCATCAACTCCTGCAGCCGCGCTGGTACTAAACCGTATTGATTCATCCTCTCCTTTGGACTCTGCTAGCAAGGCCGAGAGGGGGGAACTAGACGTCCACGCAGCCCTAGTTCTCCATATATCCTGCCCAGGCTCGTAGCGCACCGCGCTACTCCATCGTCTTCAGAGACGGACGGATGCCGAACTTCCCTTAACCATACTCCATATCCAAGGCCTCACAATAATCTCCAAAGCCTTATAGTCAGTAGCATTGAACCATAAGACCTGGAGGATTAAGTGAGGAGACATGATATGTCAGTCCTTAAGGACAACACCCAGAATCATCACACTTGTCTGAAAGTTTGCATGCATGACCGTTTGGGACGTCTTTAGGTTCTCTGCATAACTATATGTCATTCGTACGGTTGACCTTTTGGAGTGCAGAATAACTCAACACTGCCAAATCTACATCGGTTCTAATGCAAAATTCTTCCAATAGAGTGACTTGAAACATTCAGCTCCATATCCATCGCCTTAATTGATTTCTTGTTTTTTTATCGACAACCTTGTTAATATTTTCTTATAAATTTGGATGTCCTCATAGTATTTCGATCCTTAGTAAGAGTTTACGTTTGGCTAATACTGTAGAATACTTGTGAGCGGCTTCCAGCTCCATCAAACCTTTAGAAAATGATCAATCTCTAAATTACTATGTTCTGCGTTTACAGCAAATATTACAGCTTGCCTTTTCACTTGGTGTCTGTTCTCATTTATCTGAAAAGAAATATTTATAATAATAAGTTAAAAAAAATTAGACTTATTATAATACGTGTCCTCGATGAACTGGTCAAGTTTGTATAACCATTATAAGAATACATTGCAAGAACAATTTTGTAACAGTAAGAAGAATCTGTTTTACCAGGGGTTTTAATAATATTGGTAGAAATTAATAACATCATATTTTTTCTAAGAAATGATCAGATCTTTAGAGTTTCAACCAATATCACTGGAAGTTATTAAATAACTTTAGGCAAGAGAATATTCTAAGAAGGTGATTATTTGACTAACTCTTAATACTATCTTGTTATGGGTGCCTCTTTTCGGGTGCGTAAGGTATTTCGTCGTCGGTCAAGATTATTCGGAAGTTTAAAAAGAAAACACTCGCTTGTTACTTGTTTATTTGCGAGGCATGCTGCTTACTTACCGAATGAATATAAAATAAAACCTGACCTTTGCGATAAAAGGGAAAATCAAAAGATAAAAATGGCAGAGCCATAGTCGGTCACGATGTGAATGTATGTGGTTTAAAAACGAGGATAGGTGTGTGTTTATCATGCAGTATCTAAATCTCTCTGATTCAGTTGCCTTTACACCCGTGTGGAGTTATTACTGTCTTTGTTAGTCAAATTATTAACAGTTGTACATTATTATTATTATTATTATTATTATTATTAGTGTTGTTGTTGCTGCTGCTGTTGCTGTTATCGTCTTCTCTTTTTCCTTCGTGTTCTTCTTCTTCTTCTTCTTCTTCTTCTTGTGTTTTAATATGGCTGCAAGGCAGAGGAGGTTTTATGCCAGGATGTTCAATCTAAATCAGTTACCATTACACCGTGTGAGGTTTTACTTTCTTTGATAGTCAAATTATTAACAGTGGTATATTATTATTATTATTATTATTATTGTTGTTGTTGTTGTTGCTGTTGCTGTTGTCATTTTCTTTTCCTTCTTCTTCTCTTGTGTTTGGATATGGCTGCAAGGCAGAGGAGGTTTAATTTCAGCATTTTCAATCCAGACAGAAAATCCGGAGTGGAGAACCAAAGGCAGTTGACTGTTACCACTGATACATTCCGGTAAACCATTCAGTTTTGGGTATAACGTCCTGTATTTCTTTGGGCTTGATCAGTAGGGCTATAAGAGCAGACTTTTGGACTGTGCAGCATAGAGTCTCCATAAACTATAGGCCACGTTGTTTGTGCATATGTTGTGAGAAAACTTAAAAACAACATCTTAAAGGTTTCTTCATATAAAGCCAGTTATTATAGGATACTAGAAACCCTAAACATGAAATATATCAAACATATAATCGTGACAATGTCAGGAAAATCTTACCGGAGGATTAACCATATCCCAGAGGATTGCGATTATTTCCCTTATCCTTCCATGTATGGTCAGCTATTCCTAATTTTCGATGTTCTTGCAGTCAAACCTTAAGGGGGCGGCTTGTTTCTTCTTTATATTTCTTAACACAGCTGCACGGAATGGCGTACACAGAGTCCTTAGTCATATTCTCCTTTATGAGGGTGTCTTATTCGGAAGAGGTGTCAGCGAAGTCTTGAACCACTTTTGAAGATTGTTCTGATGTTATATGAAACTCAGATCTTTTGAAATTTCTCCGATAATCCCTTAACATAGTATAGGCTGACTGAAGCTGTTTTCTAAGTAATGTTTCGACGATAACAATCTGAATAATGTAAATAATGTAAGTAATCATAATAACACATCTCAGAGATATAGACAAATATCAAACAGATATATGACATTCTTCGATTTTACTCTTTTTAAGGACATGAGTTAATCCAATCTGGTTATTTTGGGATAAAAACTTTATCTAACACCTTATGTTCGTCTAACTTTTCCAAGTATAATATTTACTTTGTTTAACTCTCAGAATGTAGCTCGAAAAAGGACTTTTTAGAGTTTTATTTCTATAAAGTCAGACATTAAAGTATATTCGGGACATATATATATATATATCGAATAGGTGACACTCTGTATAAATCGAGGCAAGATATATATCTAATATGCTCTCTAACCAATATATCTTGGCCCTTATTTTAATTAAATTTGAATTAAGCCATAGCAATTTCAGTTCTCCATTGCGAAAATATTCCACAACAGGATACCATGGACCAAACATGTTATCAACATGGAGGTTTTAGAGAAAATGGAAACAAAAAGGAAACTTATACTTAACATCAGAAAAAGACAGTTGAATTCTACAGATGGATACTGAGGATACAATGGGTCGAACATTTGAGCAAAGACGAAATTTTACAGAAAATGGAAACAAAAAACGAAACTTATACTTAACATCAGGAAGAGACAATTGAAATTTCTACAGAAGGATGCTGAGGATACCATGGACCGAATATGTGAGCAACGACGAGGTTTTAGAGAAAATGAAAACAAAAAGGAAACATACTTATCATTAGGAAGAGGCAGTTGAAGTTTCTACAGAAGGATACTGAGGATACCATGGATCGAACGTTTGAGCAACGACAAAATTTTACAGAAAATGGAAACAAAAAGCGAACTTTACGTCAGGAAGAGCCAGTTGAATTTTCTGGCCCACGTAATGACGGATGAGGGCTTTGAAATCCTAATATTCCTGGGAACGTTTGAGGGTAAGCAAGACAAAGAAAAGGAGAGCATAACATAATTGGTGAGTTTTAGCAGATGGAGGGTAGAACAGGTTTTTGGAGAAAGAGCACAATTATTTTTAGACCTATATGTAACAGGTGGCCGGCAATTATCGGCTACGTCCTGAAGCGACACGTCACATACAAGAGGAATGAAAATTGTAAAAAAAATGCATGCGTCCGTAAATTGTTTCTGTCATAAACCTTTACGGTGAGTGAATGGTGAATACGGTCTCAAAATCAGTTTTTAAAGAACTCCGTGGAATTTCTACGGATACATCTATTTATTCTTCTTCTTCTTCTTCTTCTTCTTCTTCTTATTATTATTATTATTATTATTATTTCTCTCTTTATTGATCTTATCTTTTTATCAAACCATTCCGATGCTTTTTTTCCCTCTTTAGCTCTTTTGTAAGTTTTCCTTTCTTGTTCAGGGTTCAGTATTTTTTCTTATTTGTTGATCTGTGTTCCTTTCATTTCCACTTGCCATTTTGCCGTCTCCGTTCCACTCTGTGGTGGCTCCTGCTGCTTTTTTTCTTTTTTTTCTTTTCCCCATCCTCTTCCTTCTTCTTCTTCTCTTCTTCTTCATCTTTCTGAAAGACTCTTACTTCCAGAGTTCTTATTTCTTTTTCTCAGTCACTCTTCAAAAGTCTTCAAGTTCATTAAACTTGAAAGAAAGACGCCGGCTTCATCTAAAGAATCCTCGGCCGTCTTCGTCAAAACCCCGCAGCGCGAGAAAAGCTGGTTGACTGTGTAAACAAAAATGTTTTCGTTTGGATATTTTTGTTATTATAAAGAAGGAAAAAAGTAACCTAAAATAACCTCCGCCCTTAAGATGCGGGCAAAAATAAACGGGCACTGAAAAACATTAAACTCTTATCCAACCGGCGTGATCACGGTTTTTTAAAATTCTGAAACAGTTTAATAAAGTGAACAATTTCAGCAATTAGCATTTTTTTACTTTGTAGTAAAATGTTTTCATAAAACATACTTTCTTTCTTTCTTTCTTTTTTCTTTCTTTTTATCTATCTATTTATCTCAGTCTGTTCATATCAGTCCATATCTATCTATCTATCTATCTATCTATCTATCTATCTATCTATCTATCTCAGACGATTCATATCTATCTCAGTCTGTTCATATCTATCCATCTATCTCAGTCTGTTCATATCTATCTATCTATCTATCTATCTATCTATCTATCTATCTATCTATCTATCTCAGATTATTCATATTTTTATCTATCTATCTATCTCAGATTAGTCCATATTTTTATCAGATTTCATATCTATTATCTCTGACTATTCATATCTATCTATCTATCTATCTATCTATCATCTATCCATCTATCTATTCATCTATCTGTTCAGATTATTCATATCTATCTATCTATCTCTGACTATATTCATATCTCAGATATTCTATCTATCTCTGACTATTCTATCTATCTATCTATCTATCTATTCATCTATCTATCTCAGTCTGTTCATGTCTATCTGCCTATCTCAGTCCATATCTATCTATCTAGTGTTTCTTCTGTTAGTGTAAGTGTTTTCTTTACTGGAAATAAAACGTGTAAAGTGATCTAATATATCCGAGCCCTTTCGGCTATTTTGTTGACCATTTCGTGGATTTTTAAAAATACCTAATTGATTTTTATATATGTGTATCTATAGAGATTTGAATGCTTTTTACTTTTTTTATTTATTTAATAGGAACACAATATAAAATATTACTTTACTCTGGTGAAGGCTTTCTAGAAGACAAAACGCCTTGTACAGAATTTTTCCACTTTACTATTTTATTTTCCAGTGTTCTGATTTCTTTTATCAAAATTTATACACCCTTGTGCAAAATAATTGAAACCAAACGAATAATTCTGTTATTATTTTCCTTTTTTTCTAGTGAAAGATGACCTCGTTGACATGTAAGTATATCTATTCCACGAAGTCGTACCTTCAAGATTATGCCCTGGGTATGACGATAAACTACATCCGCGTCTTGGGTATGACGATAAACTACATCCGCGTCCAGGGTAAGACGATAAACTACGTCCAACAGAAAGGCCTCTGATCAGGAAGTTTTGAGGAGCGTGGAACCAATCTTAATTGCTGGTGTTCCCTGACCTGGAACGGTAGCGCCTGTTAGGGTCCTAGATATGAGCAAATAATTAACCCCGAAACTGATGTAAAAAACATTATAAAATTGTAAAAATAGGTTTTAATACCAGAAATGCTTTGTAAAACTTATTACCAGAAATAATTTTTTGAAGAAAAAAACAATTACCAGCAATATATTTTTGAAAAAAAATACCAGCAATACGTTTTTGAAAATAAAATAATATTAGCAGCTATCCATTTTTTGTGGAAAAAATATTATCAGAAATAGATTTTTGAGAAAATAAAATGTTACCAGGAAAAAAAAGAGTTGTCGGCATTAAATGACCCATTGAGGTGTTGATATGCTGTAAAACCCAGCAAACCACATCTAGCAGATTGACCAGATCCTTGATGGGGTTTAAATCAGGAAAGATAGCGGGTCAGTGTGTAGTACGTTGTTTTGCCCACTGCTAAAGCTTCCCACTGTGTTCGCGCAGCGTTACAATATTCGTACGCTTCCTTTGAGGAATGTCCATCGCAGACAATGGCTGTAGGACAACTAATTGACAATCAAGACAATAGTGTCTGCGCATGATGAAAATCGGATGCAATTACGGATGATGCAATACTTTTCAAGCCCCCCACCCAATTTCATCTTACACCCCGAAAATATACTCATATTACTGCAAACAAGATATCAGTTGTAAATAATTAGATCCAGTGACAGGACCCAAAGAGTGTGAGTTCAATACCTGGTTAAGGCAGTGGATAACTAAGAGATGGGAATTAACAGGAGATAAGTGACAACTGACATCCATTATAACATGGCACGTAGAACTAGGACAGTCTACACCACTGAGATAAAGGGTTCAGTTCGCCATTACAATCATCTGAATAAGGTGGGAGCGTACAACGGCTGAAACGTTGCACTATTCGAGCGAGTATTATCGAGTAAGTACTATTAGTGCGAGATTATTCGAAGACGTGTGACACCGGTATTGGTTAACGGCGTACTATAGTTGTATCTGTGATTACAATGTCTCTTCTCTACTGCAACGAGCTTTACAAAAGTGACAACGGATATTCGTTGTCATCAAAAAAGTGTCTTCCGAGAGTTCGTTGAGATCACAAAACCCTGTTATTCCTGAAGTAAAAGAAGGAAGCTTGTTAAATAATATAATATTAACTTCGTTTTTTTTTTTCTTTTAACCCCCAAACCAAGGGAACCATCTGGACGGAGCTGTCTGAGGTCTAGACGATTTATGATAATACATTTGATATAATGGTTATCCTCCTAGACACTGCATAGCTTTTTGAACCGCTCTGTCCAAATGCGTAACGACCCCTAGTCTAGACTATAGTCATGTACAAGTATTATGAATACTCATTATTATTACCATATTAAATAAAAATAGTGTTTTAACACGTATTTCTCTTAACACATGGACACTATTTATCTAATTATTTTGTGGAGAAGTGACACAAAAAATTATCAGTTGAAGTTAATTGAATTACAATGCGATTTTTTTGAAAAATCCAAATTTAATTTCGAATCCACTACTGACTTCTTCAAGAGATATGTTTTGACAAGAAGAACATATTGAGGAATTCAAAGAAATAACAAAATAGAATTAAAACCAGGGACAGTCAACCGCTAGCTAGCGAAGGGTTTTTTTTCTGCACAGCGAAGGATATTTGTCCAGCCCGCCAACTTAACTATAGTAAGGATTTTGCATATTTCGTTGATTGTGTTATTCTGTTATTCCTGCAGTAAAAAAGGAACCATGTTTAAATAATATAACATTAACTTAATATTGTTTTTACTTTAAACTTCAAAAGAAAGTGAGACTTCTGTGTGGAGAGGACTGAGGTCGATTCAATTTATTATAATAGATTTGATATCATGGTCATCCTCCGAGACACTACATAGCTTTCTGACTTGCTCTTTCCAAAACGTTGACGACCCGGAGTCTAGACTACAGTCCTGTAATAAATACTCATTATCATTATTATATTTTTTTTACAATGGCCTTTTTAAAACGTATTTCTTTTGTAATCGCAATTTTTGCCAAACCCGCGAAGGATTTTCGTCCGGCCCGCGAAGGATGTTTGTCCAACCCGTGAAGGGTTTTTGTCCGCCTGCGAAGGATTTTTGTCTGCCCTCGGAGGATTTTTGTCCAGCCCGAGAAGGATATTCGTACGGCCCGTGAAGCATTTTTGTCTGTTTCGCGAAGGATTTTTGTCTGGACCGCGAAGGGTTTTATGTTCGGCCCGCGAAGGATTTTTTTCCGGCCCGCGAAGGATTTTATGTCTGGCCCGCGAAGGATTTTATGTCTGGCCCGCGGAGAATTTTTGTCTGGCTCGCCAAATTATGTCTAGTAAGGAATTTGCATTTTTCGTTGATTGTATTAGTTGCTATTTCTGCAATGAAATAAGGAATGTTGTTTAAATAATGTAATATTAACTTTGTTTGTTATCCTATAAACCTCCAGATCAATGCGGACTTCTCGACAGAGCTGTTTGCGGTCGAGACAATTTATTATAATACTTTGACATCATGTTGATGACCCCTAGTGTAGACTATAGTCAGGTAGAAATATTATCAATACTCATTATCATTATTATATTAAATAAAAATATTCGTTTTAAAAGGCATGTGTTTCATTATAGCATCTCGAGTCATAATCAGTTACTTAAGGTAAGTGAAGGATGTAATAGGTTGTTAACTCCACTTAATTAAAACAATTTCTTGGTAGAACTAATTCTTGGGATTTTCTTTAAAAATGGTGCATCATGGATTTTGTTTATCTGTTTTTGACTTCTATTCTTTATCAGACACCAAACCTCCAGACAAAAACAGGAACAATTTCAGTTTTTACAATACAATATCTCTTCTATTTGCATCTCCTGAACTTTGTAGTTGCTGATTTTTTCTCCAAAATCCTCGGAGATATATTTTTGTCACTTGGTAGGAACAAGTCAATTACTTTCGTCTTTGAGAATAAAATCTGAGCGATTTGCTTGTAATGTTCGATGCTTGTTCATAGAATAATCCCAGAGGATGAGAACATCTGCTCCCTCAAATACACATTCAAGATGGCGTTCATGTCAATTTGCAGCTGTTTTCATCCTTTAGTGATGACATAACTTCCAATGCAGTTACTACCCTACCCTGTCACGACGGGATTGGCACTCATTGTGTTTGAGTATTGAACATACAGAGATAAGGTGATTAATAGTCTTAATGCATTGTTCAAAAAAACTATATTTTTGACTATACTATTACGCAATATATTAGATTGCTATGATAATTGTCATGAGTCCTTACCTATAACTATAAAATGAACTCTTCCTAACACTATGTATACTACGCCTCTCAAGAGAGAGGGACGAATCAAGCCGATCTTCTCGACATGACGGTCGAACTCTCTGCCTATGAGCAGAGAGGAACTCGGACGAGGCTCCGCCGAAGGGCAGAGTCTCGTTCGGGGAGGTTGACCAACCCGATCTTGTTTATACGGGTTCTACGGGCATTTTTTTGCCGAGCCTACGGCCTCCGGAAACCCACGTTAAACTCGGCCTTGTGCCACATGCAACCCTCGTGGGGGGGGGCTAGATACCGAATCAAGCCGAGCTTCTCGACTTGACGGTCGAACTCTCTGCCTCTGAGCAGAGGAACCCGGACGAGGCTCCGCCGAAGGGCAGAGCCTCGTCCGGGGAGGTTGACCAACCCAATTCTGTTTTTACAGTTTTCTACTGGTATTTTTTGGCCGAGCCTACGGGCTCGTGAAACCCTCTTTAAAATCGGCCTTGTGCCACATGCAACCCTCGTGGGTTGGGGTGGCTAGATACCGAATCGAGTGGAGCCGATAGTAGTTCACTCCAAACCAAACTGACAGTCATACTAACACATTCCACATCTTGTATTATTATTTCGTGTAATATACCTTCATTATTTCTACTCTTGTGTTCGTGTTGTTCTTCTTTGGTCCTAACCTGGACTATAATAATAATGTAAGCGGGTAGACTCTGGACCAGTTTAGCAAGAATAAACCCTTCAGTTTTAACTTTACGTCGCGAAATCTTTAGCCACTGGTGCGTTTCAAATTGATTGACGTCATCATTCTTGCTTCGGAGAAGGAACACGGGAATGTGAGCTTATTTTATCCCCAATTGTTTACTCTTAAGTCTCCCCATTCAGCTTCATTTTCAGTTTTCTTGTTGATTTTATGGCTGTTGTATCTACTTCAGTGTTATTTCCAGAATTTAACCCGAATCTTTTTGCATATTTATGGGCATCTTTTGTTACAGAGTGACGCTTTTTTACTTTTATTATTATTAATTTGCTATCCTGTCGTTATGCTGGTTTCAAAGGAAAACACATTTCGCCTAATTCTCTTTTCCTGTTTACCTGAGATTAGCCAACGCAACACAGATATCCACTTAAATCGTATTCTGATTGTATGTAAATGAACATGTGCATGTATATTTTAATCCAATGAGATATCTAGAAATATTTCTATGCAATAAACCAAAAAATACTTTAAATTACCTTTATTTATTACCGAATAAATTCCGAAAATTTCAATGAATCGCATATTTAATAATTAATATTAACGGAGATTTCGCCGAGAAACTAGTCGTTTCATATTTTTCCTGTCAATATATTAATGTCATTATTTACATGTTTCGAAATATTTTCCTCATCTTTGTTGCCATATTTATTACAACGTTTCGGCCGTTGTACGCTCCGGACTTCTTCAGGTGCTATGTTTAATGGATGTCAGTTATTAGTTATCTCCTGTTAATTCCAGTGACAAGACCCAAAGAGTTTGAGTTCAATAACTGGTTATGGCACTGGAGAACTTGCAGAGGGGGATTAACAGGAGATAACTGATAACTGACATCCATTAAACATGACAATTGGAACTAGAACAGTCTACCCCATTGAGAGAAATAAAGGGTTCAGTTCGACATTCCAAATAGCTGAAGAAGGCCGAAGCGTCCAACGGCCGAAACGTTGTAATAAGTATTGCGACAAAGATGAGGACAATAGTCCGAATAATGTAAATTGTGTACATAATACCTCATCTCAGAAATATAGACAAATACTGAAGAGCCAAAACGTTGTAATAAATATGGCGACAAAGATGAGGACAATAGTCCGAATAATGTAAATCGTGTACATAATGCCTCATCTCAGAAATATAGACAGATACTTAAAGGCCGAAACGTTGTAATAAATATGGCGACAAAGTTGATGGCAATAGTCCAGATAATGCAAATAATGTATATAATATCTCATCTCAGAAATACAGACAGATATTAGTGTCATATTCACACAAATTCACTTTTGGTGGCAATTAATTGTTTAAAATTGTTTACTTAAATAAAATGTATCGCCATAAGTAATAAAATGTATAATATACATTTTGGCCATTTATATTCTAGTAGCCAATACATAGATATGAATAAACTGATATAAATATATGTTAGTAATGGATATATATATTTATACTATTGTTCATCCATTACAATTGTAGAATACCTACAGAGGATAATGAGTATGTCCTCATTCACATAAATACAGTAGTAAATACTATATATTGATCTGCAGTTAGAGATTCGTTTTTTCCAGCTGTGCTGGTCAAACTCTCTGCCTCCGGGAAGAGATCATCCTTAGACGAGGCTATGTCGAAAGGCAGAGTCTCGTCTCGCGAAACATCTAACCGACTACGTTTTATACGGTGTCCACGGGAAATTTTGGGGCGAGCCTACGTGCTCGGATACTCCACATTAAGTTCGTCCTTGTGCCACATCTGACCGCGTGTGGCGGTTGATAGATATCTTGCCCTTGCAGACTCATTGTAGAATTCATCTGGCTCACTTCTAGTAGTTGACTACTTCTTTTACGCGTCGCTAGCGAATCTTATATGTGTTGTTCTTGTCCTAAGTATTATCGTTCATTACCAACCTTCGTTTGAATATTCTATTTAGTAACCTTCTCTAGGTTACGGCAATTACGATGTCCAAGCGCCACACAATTTTGAGAGTTAGTATGATTATGTATGAGCGTGAGAAAATCCAAAAACGGAAGTGACGTAGGAAGGAAGATGATTAACACTAGACTTGAGATGGTCAGGGTTGTAATAACTCGGAACACATTCTGCCGGGGGTCTGTTCAACAAAGCAGAAGTTCTTGGGAAGAATATGTCCAAATGGAGTTACTTCTTACTAATGGAATACGAATAGAATAGGTATGATTCACTCTAGTGTACGTCGAGTGATATGTTTCAGTGGTAATGATCATGGTGGTGGGACTAAGGTTTATAGCTGATCAAAAGACATGCCATTGAAACAGCAATACAACAGCGACAGACTCGCGATCTTTCGTCTTTCCGAAAGAGGTTGCATTCTGAAAAATATTTCGTCACCTACAAGGCGTGTGTAGACGCTTTTAAACTTTATACAGACAGACAAGTGAGGACTATTCATCTCCAGCCAAGATATTTTTATTCATTTAACCCGGAGCAAGGCAATAAATCCACTAAGACACAGGGCACTGATTGTTAGAGTGGGAAAAATACATTTAACGAGAGAGGACAATAATAGACCTATACTTGAGAAGAGAAAATATAACGATTGACATTGCATTAATTTTTTGAAAATCAAGTTGATTGGAAAGCAAGAATCCAGAAGAGCTTTTAACAAATGGGAAGTGCGATACAAGAAATTGTTAACAGAGAACTTATATAATATAACAGAATATATATAGAACTTATATGTAGCCATAACAACTGTAAAAAATGAGACCGTGTTGCCAATCGAGTACTGCGCTTAAATTCGTTAATCTAGGTGCCATAGCGGAAAGATCTTCAGAACAATTACGATGATATTTTTATCGAAAAGTGATAGTGAAGGTACGTTACGGCGGCGGGAAATGGACTGAAGACGAGATGCCAGGTCAAGACCAATAACATTACAGATACTTCTTTGGATTTTATTAAAAAATCTTTAAATATATAACAAGAGTACTATATAATATGTGGCAGTAATATTCAACGCAAGGACAAATAGTAGACCTACAAATATGTAAGAAAAATTTTGGCGAGAAGATCTTTCTAGCACAACATAATGAACCCACTTTCTTAACTGCAGACTTTGCAACTGATTCATTATAGTCTTACTATTTCATGTAACTTGAAATCGT